CTTTGTGGTATGGTACCTTGCATTACAATTTCCGAGAGATCCATACACTTGAACACAAGTTATTGTCTTGAAACTAGAAAAATGCTTATTTTTGGCCCCTTTTTTGGCCCCCAATTCCTAAACGTTTCGGCAATTACCCCCAAACTCAATTCCAGCTTTCCATTTGTGATATGGAACCTTGTAGTACAATTTCAGAAAGATCCATACACTTACACACAAGTTATTGTCATGAAACTAGAAAAATGCTTGTTTTTTGCCCCTTTTTTTGGCCCCTAAATCCTAAAATTTTGAGGCAATTACCCACAAAATCTATCCAAGCATTCCCTTTGTGAAATGGAACCTTGTGGTACAATGTCAGAGAGATCCATACACTAACACACAAGTTATGTCTGGAAGTTACAAAAATGCTGATTTTTGGCCCCTAATTCCTTAACTGTTGGTACCAAAACCCCCAAAATCAATCCCAACCTTCCTTTTGTGGTATTGAACCTTATGGTAAAATTTCATAGAGATCAATTCACTTAAACTAAAGTTAGAGTGCCAAAACCAATGTGTCTTCGGACGACAACGACAACAACGGCAACGTCATACCAATATGCGACCGCAATGCGGTCGTATAAAAAGCTTGTTATTTTTAAACAGAGGAGCGAACATCCTTAACTCTTTCAGCACTATGACCTGGTTTACCGGGAAATCAATTTTACTTAGAACTATTAACACTATAGCCTGCTATACCGGGCTGCGCATGCTACGTACTTTTTTTAATCTGAGATTTACATTGGTCAGTTGTTGGGAAAACCTCTCTTAAGTAACATACTAGCGTCAGATACATTCATTCGAGATTCTCTGGCATTTTCCATACTTTTAAATGGAAAATAAAGTAAATATTGGTCTATTATTAGCGATGAAATTGGAAATTTTGTACACAAAATGGCGGAAAGCGATAGTGAAAAGGAACTGTCAGGAGACGAAATTATTGATTATGATTATTAGGCCAATTTGACTTAATAAATGTTAATCAAGGTGACAGAAATGAATTAGAAAGGCAATGGAGAAATATAGTAGAGGACAGTGATGATGAAAATGACTTTGAGGGGTTTGAAGCCGTGGACATGTTAACAAAAATTTTGACACATGGAAAAAGACAGAAACTCAAAGAAACATTCGTGAATTAAGGGAATGTGTGGGCCCAGGAAGAAATTTTGACACTTCAGCATCTGCCCTGAACTATTTTCAATGTTTTTTATACTGAAGAAGTCTTCACTTCTATCGTCAATTTGACCACCACCAGAAAATCATACATGAAAGTTTACACATTTACCTGTGTTAACAAGTACAAATACTTTGTCAATTGAGACAATATCACATTTTTTTTTAATAATCATAAACTATTAAATCAATATAAACTCAAACAAAATAAAAGTGATGTCTAGTTAAAACACCAGTTTATCAAAATTACCTGTTCCTGTATTTTTACCTGTATGTCACCATAAGTCACAATAAGACAAACAGGTACAGCAAGTACAAAGTATGCTGATTATTTTGCTACCTCATATGATGGAATTGGATGACTGAGTACAAATATACATCAGTTTAAACGTACCTACCCTAAATAAATGAAAATTCTCAAAGATACATAGTGTTGAAGGGTATAATACATTGAAAGTTATGCAGTGTTGAAAGAGTTAAGCAAACTAGACCTGGATATCAGTTACCAGAGATTGGACCTTACCAAATTAACATCAAACTACAACTTAGGTAAGTTTTGTTTAAAATGTCAAAATAAATTTATACATTAAGAAATGCTCATTTATACTAGAGACATATACTGATAGAGTAATTATATTTTGCACAGATGAAAAATTTGTTGTGTTGGAAGAGTTATAATTTTTAAAACGTTGGACTAAATTCTATTATAATAACACATACGTCGTGGAGAAATTCGGTTTGAAAAAGTGTACTTCCAATTCTCATCTTCAATTCATACGAAATAATTCAATAATGCTGACTGCCAATCTTTAAAAATATTTATATTACAGATTTGTAGCAATACAAATATTGCTAAGCATGGGTATGTCTTGTGTAAGCATAAGAAATGCAAAAAGTCACACTTTCTAATAATTATAAAATTTTAATTTATTTAGATGTTTATACACTTGCAATAAATGAGAATACAAAAAAAAAAAATTTTGCAAAATTTTGGACAAAAGGCAAACCATAAGACCCAGAATATACTCTTGTAAAAAAAAAAATAAAAATATATAAATCTATCAAAAAAAAATTTGTAAGGGTTCCAAGGAACCCAGTGTCTCATCTACTTTTGCTGTTAGTCGCAGGCTGAACAAAAATGGGGAAAAAATTATTAAAAATTTTTCCTTAGATACTATCTTTCGATTGTAAGAAGTTCTGTTCAAGTTTGGTAAAAATCCAAGACGGTTTATGAATCTAATAAATGTTTTAAAAACTTTAACTGTACGTAATGTTAACTGGAATAAAACTAAGTCCATCTATAAGTAATAAATGGAAAAACCGGAAATAAATTTTTACAAAATTTCCTACTAGATACAAGCTTTTGATCATAGAGAAGCTTCTGTCCAAGTGTGGTACAAATCCAGGATAGTTAAAGAAAGTTATTAAAATTTTGAAAGCTTTAACCACAGAGTGAATGTAATGTTAACTGGCAGAAAAAATAAGTCCATTTATAAGTGAAATACGGATAAACAGGATTTTTTTTTAACAAAATTTACTTTTGAATACTATCTTATGATCACAAACAAGCTTCTGTCCAAGTGTGGTACAAATCAAGGATAGTTTAAGAAAGTTATTAAAATTTGAAAAACTTTAACCACAGAGTGAATGTTATGTTAACTGGCAGAAAAACTAAGTCCATATTTGAGTAAAATAAGGATAAACAGGACTTTTTTTTACAAAATTTTCTTCTGGATACTATCTTATGATCATAAACAAGCTTCTGTCCAAGTTTGGTAGAAATCTAGGATAGTTTAAGAAAGCTATTAAAATTTCAAAAACTTTAACCACAGGGTGAATATTTGTGGACGCCGCCGCCAACGGGATGTCCGCTTTTGCGACAAAAGTGGCAGGCTCGACAAAAATTACATCTATTTAAGTTTGCCTGCACAATATACACTGACTAGTTTTCAAATATGATTATATTTTCGTTATAATCTTTCATTTTTGTCAATAGACAAGAAAGATTACGCAATCATTAAAAGTTCATGAAGTTAACAAAACTCTATGATTTGATATACAACATTCTTAAGTTGTTTTAAAAGTTTTGTTATAACAACACATTTCTTATAACAAAACTTTTAAAACAACTTAAGAATGTTGTATATCAAATCATAGAGTGCTGATATTTAACAAGGCCTAAGATTTTGAGTTTTTAAATTCAATTACCTGAAATGAGATTTATATTAACCTCTTGGTATACAGACTATTTCAAAATTCTGACATCCTAATATAAATTCTTCACATATTTATTGAATATCCAGAGCCTCTGTTGGATACCTTTTTTATGTTGTGTAACTCAATATTAAATTGCATATATTGCCTTTATTGATTATTGAATAACGAATACAGACAAAAGAAAAAGTAAATATAAGGGAATACCCCCAAGGGGTTGAAAGAATGTGAAAAGTGCAAGTATGCAAAAAATCATAAACCTGCATAAATATTATTACTTTCTTCACTACCGATATATGCTTAAGTTTAAATATTTTATACATTTTGCATTGCATATACATTTGTATTGTTCATATGCCTTTAACCTCATGTGTGCATGATGCTTTGTTTTATTTGTTATGTATACAATATACGTTTTTATATTTGGTAAAATGCTCACCAAAGATTATGTTTATATATTTTATACTCTGCCGAATTAAAATAAAGTTTTCAATCTAACGATTCAGGGTATAATTGCAATACATAGTTTCGCTTGTTGTAGTAATTTCTTATGTTACCGAAACCAATTTTGGGACGTACGGACGTACAGACGAACAAGGATAAAACTTAATGCCCCCTCTCACAGCTACCCTAGGGCATAAAAAATATATTTGCTGATTCTAAAAGAACATGATTAAATCTTATGTATAAATACCATATACACTAGACGAAACAATGTACGTTGAAGGATACAATGTATGCTTCACGATACAATATACTCTGAACAAAACGATATACGTAAAACCATACAATGTACACTGAGGAGTGCTGAGGGAGCTACCATTGGATTTTTATGGGGGCCTAGGATGAAAAATTTTTTCCTGCCTTTTTTTTTTAGTTGTAATCTCTGTCCTGCCTTTTTATTTTTCACTCTATTCGGTCCTGCCTTTTTTTTTGCCAAGTTGTTCATCCTGCCTTTTTTTTTACTCAAAACTCCTGTCCTGCTTTTTTTATTAAATTTCATCCTAGCCCAATGTTTATGTAACAGGGATTATAGTTTTCAAAATAATGGCAAAAACACTAAAATTAGTCAAAAATGAACATTTAAGGGTAATAACTCATCACCGAGTCATGTCATCCAATTAATTCAATCATATGTGCATTTTTGTAGATATTGTATTGCTGATAATTTTTGCCTTGAACAGTTTCTACCTATATAGTTTTTGAGAAAATAGGCAAAAACTTGAAAATTAGCCAAAAATCATTATTTAAAGAAGTCATCTGATAATCTGACATTCTGAGAATTTAAGCCCTTGTCAGATTTTCTCTATCTATAATGGTTTTCAAGATATAAGAAAGTTAATGCATTTTACCCTTAAACTTTATTTTCAGCCATGGCAACCATATCTGGTGACTGACCAGTAAAAAATCTTTATACCCTAAGGATCATTCATTTCAAGTTTTGTTGGAATAGGTACAGTCCTTTCAAAGGAGACGATCTATTAAAAAGTTTTGGACGATGATGGATGCGAAGTGATGGCAATAACTCACATCACCTTATGGACAGGTGAGCTAAATAATCTAAAAGAAGTTCTTACCATTAAATTGCTTCATTCCCTTTTCAAACAAACAACAACTTGTCCATAGACCAGATATTTTTTCTTGTAGTTCTCCGTGTGTCTTCTTCCTTGCAGTACCAGTACCAGATTGAGTGAGGAAAACAGACTTTGCAGCTTCCTGGTATTGCCTTGTCAGTGGCCTGAAAACAACAAGAGTATCATCATAATCGGCCCTAAAACAGGTATTTTTCGTAAAAATGCATCAAATTGTCTTTGCATGGCCAGTCAAAATGTACTCCTTCCCGCACAAACCCTTCCATACTGAGTAGTTAAAACCATCGATCATTTACTCAAATAAGACAAACAGTGACTTTCTATAAGAATATTTTTCTATATCAGTAATAGGATATATAACCCTAATAGTTATCAACACTTGGTGAAGCCTTATAATATAAGGAACATTTTCATCATTTTTAATTGCCGTCTATTCAAAGGTCCTCATAAAGATGATTACAGATTATTGAAGTTGCAGTCTATTAGTAAAAAATGTTTTTTTCCTTGGCATTTTTCCACAGTATGGTAGCATTAGCTTTGTTTGAAGGAACAACATCAGTTAACGAAAGGAGGCAGGATGCCTGGTGATGGCTAAAGATCAGACAGTTGATAACACAATCTCAAAACACAGCAACAATGCAGTAAGAGCTGAAGTATATAATGGGGTACTTTTCAAAATTCTAAAACAAATTTGCCGACTTGGCATAAAAAGTCAGGATTACATCCCTGTTTTCTAGTCTTAACCTGTTAACCACTGTGAAAATTTGTACCGGTACTTGTGTTCATGAACAGTTTGTTTGTATTCAGGAACTTTTGGTTCTTTATATAAAGATTATGTAGTCCCAATTTGGTTCTAATTGGTTTAGTGATTTCAGAGGAGATATCTTTTTTTTTTAAGTCTAAAAGATAACAGACAGACCACTTACCCCAAAATGTTGGTAAAAGCTCACACTGGCCCTTTAGGTCAAGTTAGCTACAGACGGGCCGAATTTCCCTGACCCATCTTACCCCAACTGGTAACCAGTCATTTGCCTACTTATACTATTTTAGTTTCTGATTATTCTTATGTATGTAAACAAGAGTACGCACACTGAAATGTCTTGCCTGCTTTATTGACTATAATTAGATTTTTGTTGTAAGTCTTAAAGATGAAGGTTTTACTACAAGTATAACATAAACTTAACATTATCAATGATCCATGACAATGAGGTCATGGTCAGACAAACCATAGCAGACAGACCTAACATGTACACCCTTCTATCATACCATACACCAGATATGATTGTAAAATGAATGGAAATTTTTCCTTTGATATTCGAGCAAGTTAATCTTTATTATTTTTAGAAGAGTGCATTAACTGAATAGATTTTAAGTTAGAGCACTATCGATTCCTGCCGTTGACCACATCTCATATGAATAGCAAAGAATGGAATTAAACAAGTGCTTTAACTTCCATCTCAAAAGTTGCTAATGCTTCCTTTGACTAGTATATAATGAAAGAACATTGAACATTAATTTTCCTCCCGTCATTTTGGTTGGATACCTGTTTTTATCGTGTTGGAATTAATGTTCCAAAAATATGTCACTGGATGTTTAGTCATTTTCTTCATTTTACAATGGTCTATCTCTGTGAATTGAGCATGCTTCAAATATATGTCCCTGGACCTTACACAATCAACAACCAATCAATTAAACGATCTTTTTTCCAGTTGTTGGGAATGGAGGAATATTTTTATCTGAATAATTGATTTAAAAAAATGTTTCTTTCTTTAACAATTAAGGAATTTTTACGTTTTCTACCCGAATAAACACTGTCTAATTTCAATCAATTGTAGCTCATACAAAAGCCAACTTGAACTCATCTGATAGATAATTGATTGAAGTTTCCAGAAAATTTAATTTAAAGAAAATAATCCTTTCTTTGGTCCCATGGTATCTCTCATAAAGTCATGTGACTTGCATAAAAAATGTCAAAAAATGTACAGTTCAAGAGGAAAAGTTGTAGTACAGGCATTTTGTTACCAAAATAGAACATAGTGTTAGTGTAAAAGCAATGCACGAAGTCTTTTGGAAACATACTAGCTGCAAACTTTATATATGATAATGCAGAGATAATCTGGAATGGTTGGGTTCCCAGGGTAAGAATGTAACAAAAAATAAAGGAGGCGAAGGGGGGGGGGGGGGGGGAGTAAGGAATTTAGTTTTCTTAACTTGACTTAAGAATGTATTTCAGTTGCCTTAATTGAAATTGAAAGTAAAGTTAAGTTACATTCAATATAGGAAATTATTTTTTTACCCCCGGCAGTGAGGTTTGAACAAGCGATCTTTCTGGCATCAGATTGTTCATCTTACCATTGAGCTACAGAAACCATAGGTAAAGGCATGACATTTAAGTATGTAAGTCCACTTCTCTGGAAGAAGAGAAAAAAATAAATGGTGAATGTGTCCATGGGACACAGATGCCGCCGCTTGCATATAACATTATAAAGGGATATAACTCAAGAACTGTAAAAGTGACGCTACCCAAATTTGTACTTGAACTGAGTTTTGTGGTAATAAGCATTGTGCAAAAGTTTCATTACATTTGGTTGAGGCAAACTAAAGTAAGAGAACAGAAACAAATATTTCAGGAATTTTTCCATTTGTAAGGGGGCACAACTCTAGAATGGTAAAAGTGACGCCACCAAAATTCAAACTTGACCTGTGTTTTGTGGTAATAAGCATCGTGTCTAAGTTTCATAACATTTGGTTGAGGCAAACTAAAGTGAGAGAACGGAAATGAAAAATTCAGCAATATTTCCATTTGTTAAGGGGCATAACTCTAGAACGGTAAAAGTGACGCCACCAAAATTCCAACTTGATCTGTGTTTTGTGGTAATAAGCACTGTGTATAAGTTTCATAACATTTGGTTGAGGCAAACTTAAGTTAGAGAACGGAAACCAATTTTGGGACTTAGTACGTTCGTACGTACAGACGGACAAGGGTAATACTTAATGCCCCCTCCGCTACAACATTTTTGACATTTTTGACATGAAAAAATTTGTCATTTAAGGGCAATATCTCCTATAAGAAATCTTCTGACAGTTTTGATGCATATAGACAAAATGTAGAGCTCAAAATCCTGAACATTTTTGCCCTGTCATATTTTCTCTATTTATAGCTGTTTTCAAAATAATGGGCAAAACTTGCATTTCACCCTTATGTTCTATTTTAAGCCATGTCCACCATGCTATTTGGCAGGCAGGGTCATCCAACACAAGTAGATACCCAATGACGATTGTGGCCATGTTTGGTTAAATTTGGCCTGGTTAGTTTCAGAGAAGTATTTTGTAAAAGTTAATGAACAACGATGATGACAGACGCTAAGTGCTGAGAAAAACTCACTTGGAACTTTGGGCCAGGGGAGCTTCAAAGGAATCAACATTTTTATTTTCAAATTTCTATTACTGTTGTTTGACTGGTTGTATTACACTTCTTTCATGTGTAAGTCCTCAATATTAGGAGAAAAAACACTACAGATAGTGGCCAACTTCATTGACAAAACTGGCAGAATTAAATTATTTAGTTAATCAGTGCATATCTTTTACAAGCACATAGGAAAAATTCTGATGAGCATAAAGCACAAGATAGTAGACCTGCACCATTGAGATAAGTTGTCAAAACAGGCTTTGAAATTTAGGATTCTCATTATTCTGGCACAGAGTAGTTGTTACAATTTATTGCCATTTGTTTTTAAAATAAGCCCATATAATATATCATTTGATTCACATTATTACATGATAAAATACATCAAAAGTACAAGATGAGCGTACAGCAATACACAGCATCCCGAACTGATCAAAATTCAATTGACTAAAACCTCACATTTTATCTGGGTTTTTTACAGCAATTCTTTTGATAATTGAAACAGCTTTTTTCTTGTCCAATATCTACAGCTAATAAATGGTGAACAATTGAAATTATATTTAACATAACTGTTAGTTGGTCATTTGTTGGACTGCTGCATTTAAATCCAGGTAAAAATCAACAAATGAATGTCACAGGTAAACTTGTATACAAAGGCATGCTTTGAATAGCTTAACCTACATGATGGCTGATGACCTTTTCATGATAATAGGCAATAAACAGCTGCACCATGAACGCATGATACGCCCGTCACATTTTTTACAAATAAAGTTCAATAACCTCTCAATGTCATATCAGAAATTTGTGAAAAACTAAAGGGAGGTTATCTTAATTGATATAAACCAGCCACCAAAGTTTTAATGAAAACTGCTCAAAGCACTTTAAAGGTATTGTCCAAAAACTACAAAGCTCTCCTTTTTATACGACCGCAAAAATTAAAAATTTTTTGGTCGTATATTGGTATGACGTTGGCATCGTCGTCGTCGTCGTCGTCGTCGTTGTCGTCGTCGTCGTCGGCGTCGTCGTCGGCGTCGTCCGGCGTCGTCCGAAGACACATTGGTTTTCGCACTCTAACTTTAGTTTAAGTGAATGGATCTCCATGAAATTTCACCATAAGGTTCAATACCACAAAAGGAAGGTTGGGATTGATTTTGGGGGTTATGGTACCAACAGTTAAGGAATTAGGGGCCAAAAAGGGGCCAAAAATAAGCATTTTTGTAACTTTCAGACAATAACTTGTGTGTAAGTGTATGGATCTCTCTGGCATTGTACCACAAGGTTCCATATCACAAAGGGAAGGCTGTAATTGATTTTGGGGGTAATTGCCTCAAAATTTTAGGAATTAGGGGCCAAAAAAGGGGCAAAAAACAAGCATTTTTCTAGTTTCATGACAATAACTTGTGTGTAAGTGTTTGGATATTTCTGAAATTGTACTACAAGGTTCCATATCACAAAGGGAAAGCTGGAATTGAGTTTGGGGGTAATTGCCCGAAACGTTTAGGAATTGGGGGCCAAAAAGGGGCCAAAAATAAGTATTTTTCTAGTTTCCAGACAATAACTTGTGTTCAAGTGTATGGATCTCTCTGAAATTGTACTGCAAGGTACCATACCACAAAGGGAAGGCTGGGATTGAGTTTGGGGGTGATGAATCATAAGGGGGTTCAAAAAATTTGGGGGGGGGGATTTTTTTTTTTTTTTTTTTCTTTTTTTCCTTTTTTTTACTTTTAAAATTTTCCATTT